ACGAAGTTCTGGTTGTGATCAGTTAAAAACCTTTATTACAAAAGTAGGTAACTAATCACAGGGATGTTATATACTCATAAGATTACGATGTTCTGGTTGTGATCAGTTAAAAACCTTTATTACAAAAGTAGGTAACTAATCACAGGGATGTTATACACCCACAAGTGCTTTACCACAAATTCAAAGAGAGGATGTTACTTACATGTGTTATCCTGATAAACACTTCAAATTCTAAACTCAGGTGTGGGATGTTACTGATAGATTGTAGTTTAATAATCATACGTTATCTATAAGTTCTTGGTTTGTAACTGAACTTTTGTTTTAATATGATGAGCCGTCACTATATAGTTCATATTGTTCTTACTCTGGCATCCAACTGAGCTCCTGCCTTAACCAAGTATTCGACAACTGAAGTGTGACCAGCTTGCACAGAATACATCAGAGGGGTATACAGTTGGTTGGTCAGGTGATCAAGCACAGCTCCTGCCTACAATACAAACCAATTTTGTTTTTAGTATATCAACACAGAAAAAAAGTTTAGTTTCATAAAATGAATGAAAACTTGTTAATATTTAAACTTTCTTTTTAAGTTAAAGTACAAAGCAAACAATCACATTGTATGAACATACTTATTTTTGAGAGTTTAACAAACACATCAATTTCTTACACTAATTATCATAATTAATCCAAGCCAATTATGTGCATATTATAATTTAACTGTCAATTTATTCCCGTTTTGTTTCCAATTTGGTTTGAATATCGTGCAAAGCTACACGAGGGCTATCTGCACTAGTCATCCCTAATTTAGCAGTGTAAGACTAAAGGGAAGGCAGCTGGTAAACACCACCAATTGCCAACTCTTGGGCTACTCTTTTTACCAACGAATAGTGAGATCGACCGTCACTTATAACGCCTTCACGGTTTATGAGAGGGCGAACATGTTAGTTGACGGGGATTCGAACCCACGACCCTCAGATTGCGAGTCAAGTGCCCCCTAATCACCAGGCCATGACAATAAATACAAGACTACAATTAAATCTGTTATAATAAATAAGAGTTTAATTCAATACTCTACGACCTCCAAAACTATGTTCATCAAAATATTCAAACAGATATCTAAACATCTTTCAGTTGTAATAAGAAACAGTTTTTGTCCTTTTTAAATTGGTATTTTATGTTAACTTTATTTACGTATATATTATAAATTAATGCTCATATTTATTTTAGCACAAAGCTGCACAATAGGCTTAAAACTTTCTTTTTCTTAACAAAAATATGTGCTGCCGTTATATATATACATAACATTCAGTGGTAAATTTATTTAGCTTTGGATACCTCATGTCCTTCTTAAGAAACATACTAAACCACAGTTACCTGAAGTAAAAGATGAACAACAACTAAATGTCCAGAACTGGCTGCTACATGAAGAGGAGTCTCATTGTCATGGTCTTCAAATTTGTGGTTGGGGTCAAAACCAAGTGCTAGTTTCGTAATATACGCAATAAAACAATTTATTGTTAAATGATCAAGTGTGGTATTTTTGGAAATAAAAACCTTGCCCGTGATAACCCCCCCCCCCTCCTCAACACACACACACAAAAGCAAAACAACAGAGAAATCTCATTAAGTACGATATTTCTGGTACTGAAAAAGTTATGAATTAAGTCAGGCATCATGACTATTTTTCTTGATTTAATTTTTACGACGAAGCGCTATTATCGTACAATTGTGAAAGGAAATATTTAATTGTTTATACCGTTAACAAAACGTAGTGATTTTAACTCTGATAACTCTTGGTTTCCATCAATTCTGAATGAAAAATAAATGACTAAAAACCTTCCAAGTTCAACACTATAAACAATAACATCTGCCCAAATTCATTATATTTATTTTTTGCATTATTTTTCCATGAAACTCACAAAATAGAAAAAAAAAAACGGACATGCTTTCACTATTTGAGTCTAAGAGAATGACTTAAGCTAATGACAAGGTTTTACCTTTATTATATATATATAATCAGATAAATCTTGTGAAAAATAATTATTTAAAAATTCTATGCTGTTTACTTTTAAGCTAATGGTCTCATTTTTCAAATAATTTAATTTATTTTTAAAAACTAGATTTTAGAGACAGATCTGCTTAAGTTTACAGTGGGTGTAGATGGGCAGGAAAATATTATTGACTATAGTAGGAAATGAGAAAAAAAAAATTATTCTAAGCATTGTGAATGTTCTCTCTAGTCTCAATACTTACCAATGAGCTGAAGAATTTTCTCCACGTTCCCCGATTTCGCTGGAGCATAAAAACTTTTGACAGTATATCTCACATTCTGTAGTTTATCACTAGCTAAAGCCACCAGTAGCGCCTCTAGCTGAGTTCTATCTGGCCCGAGAGGTAAACCAGCTGATAAAGAAGGGTAGTTTTTAAGATTCTGGTCACACAAAATTCCATCAAACATATCTTTAATGTTTGATAACAACAGATTATTTCTGAGCACACTCTGTTTAGTCCGAGAGATAAACCAGTTGCCAAAGAATGGAAGCTGTTTAGACTTTGGTCACGCAAAAATTAAAAATTTTAAGAAATAGCCAACTTCTGGATTACAATCTAATTACAATCCTTACCTCATGATATTTGGTTCTAATTACATGCATTTGTGAAAGCATGATAATCTCACATTAACAATAAACCTAAATAACAGTTACAAGTTTGTTTAATCTTGATGTGTAAACCTGTTGGTTTTTAATACATTAGTACATCTTTACAGTTACAGAGTTACTTCCCTTTATTAAGTAAGTACATTACTTGATCTTTACAGTTACAGAGTTACTTCCCTTTTGTTGAGTAAGTAAATTACTCAATCTTTACAGTTACCTTTACTTACTTAATAAAGGGAAGTAACTTAACTGTAAAGATTGAGTAACAGAGTTACTCCCCTTTATTAAGTAAGTAAATTACTTGATCTTTACAGTTACAGAGTTACTTCCCTTTATTGAGTAAGTAAATTACTTGATCTTTACAGTTAGAGTTAGTTCCCTTTATTGAGTAAGTAAATTACTTGATCTTTACAGTTACAGAGTTACTCCCCTTTATTAAGTAAGTAAATTACTTGATCTTTACAGTTACAGAGTTACTTCCCTTTATTGAGTAAGTAAATTACTTGATCTTTACAGTTAGAGTTACTTCCCTTTATTAAGTAAGTAAATTACTTGATCTTTACAGTTAGAGTTAGTTCCCTTTATTGAGTAAGTAAATTACTCGATAGTTACAGTTACTTCCCTTTATTAAGTAAGTAAATTACTCGATCTTTGCAGTTACAGAGTTACTTCCCTTTATTAAGTAAGTAAATTACTTGATCTTTACAGTTACAGAGTTACTTCCCTTTATTAAGTAAGTAAATTACTCGATCTTTACAGTTACAGAGTTACTTCCCTTTATTAAGTAAGTAAATTACTAGATCTTTACAGTTACAGAGTTGCTCCCCTTTATTAAGTAAGTAAATTACTCAATCTTTACAGTTACAGAGTTACTCCCCTTTATTAAGTAAGTAAATTACTTGATCTTTACAGTTACAGAGTTACTCCCTTTATTAAGTAAGTAAATTACTCAATCTTTACAGTTACAGAGTTACTCCCCTTTATTAAGTAAGTACATTACTAGATCTTTACAGTTAGTTACTCCCCTGTATTAAGTAAGTAAATTACTCAATCTTTACAGTTACAGAGTTACTTCCCTTTATTAAGTAAGTAAATTACTCAATCTTTACAGTTACAGAGTTACTCCCCTTTATTAAGTAAATTACTC